CCTCTTAAAAGGTGTTAAGAACATTAAGTATGAGTTAAGAATTTTCTCATTTCAAATTCCATTTCAACTGCTGTTTTCCTTCCTACGCTTGGCAAGGAAGCTCTATTCAAACAGAAAACCATCATTTTAAAAGTCTGGGTTTTTTGTTTTGGTTTTGTTTTGCTTGTTGGTTTTTTTTGCTGGAGGGGCAGGGATTGGTTGTATGTTTGTTTAAAGACTATGAAGCAATTTGACTGAAACCAGTAACACCCAAGAACAAACCAAAAAGACAAACAACTATTCATTTGTTCCATCTTCTCTGTACTTTCATCTCACAATCTAGGGAAGCCACCAGCACACACCAACTGCAGACAAGTTGTCTCTGCAAAGACAACTGGCCAAAAGCCAGACGGTGCCTGGAAAGCCAAGAGAACAAAATGTTATGTAGTTTAATGAGAAGCAATCAAGGTATAGAGCATACTTGGAGAAACATTCTGGTTACCAAAACAGTCACTTCACTGTAACCACAAGTAGGCTAAATCGTGGTTTTGATGAGTTTTTCACATAATTCCACATAACCCATACATGTATCTCTTAAATCAGAGTGGTCTCTTCTACCTGGCAAATATTTGACAGAACAGAATCATAGAATTTGTGGGACTGGAAGAGACCTTTAGAGGTCATTTGTTCCATGGAGAATCTGTTCTATGATGTTCCCAGGCACAGACGTGAGGCTGACAGGTCAGTAGTTTCCAGGGTCCTCCTTCTTAAAAATGGGTGTGATGTTCCCCTTCTTCCAGTTACCAGGGACTTCACCTGACTGCTGTGACTTTTCAGGTATCATGGAGAGTGGCTTGGCAACTACATCAGCCAATTTCTTCAGTACTCTGGGATTTATCTCATCAGGTTCCACAGATTTATGTGTGCACAGGTTCCTCACGTGGTCATGCACCTTGTCTTCACCTAAAGTGGCAGGGACTTTGTCCCGCTGGTCCCTGTGTTGTGGTCCATTGAACTGGGAGGGGTGAGGAGAGAGGTTGTCAAGTGAAGACTCAGGCAAAAAAAGCTGTTGAGTATCTCAGCCTTCTCCTCATCTGTTGGTATCAGCTCACCATTCTTGCTTATCAGTTTGGGTACACTTTCTTTAATTTTCCCTTTCTGGTTAACATACCTGGAGAAGACCTTCTTGTTATTCTTTACATCCCTCGCCAAGTTCTGCTCTAGCTGTGCCTTGGCCTTCCTAACCTCATCCCTACGCAACCGGGCATCTTCCCTATACTATTCCCAGGATATCTGTCCCTGCTTGAACTGCCTGTGCATAGAGGGTGCTCATATTACTAAATTTCACAGCAGTAATTCAAGGGAAGAACGTGAGAAAATGACATTTTTAAAAATCCTTATTTTTATAAACTTGCTCTGCTAATTTGCAAGTTACAGTCAGTCATACAAGGACCTGCTAAGTAGAAGCTAAACTCAGTTTAATGTAGCAATCATTACTAACAGAACCTTGAAACACAAAGGTATAAGTATGTTAATGCCACAAGTAAGAACAAGAGAAAAGAATAAGAAAGGAAAAAAGAAACACATTTAGCTACCACAAGTAGCATTCTTATAGTTAGCAGGCGTTCTCAGCTGTATCACACATTTTTTTCTAGTCCAAGCAATTTCATTTTAGTATAAAATCTGCCTTTAAGTTAAATATTTAATTGAAGTCAGGGAATACAGCCAGTAAGTAGGTTAGCTGTTTCTGGAAAAACTCATTATCTACCAAACTGCGTATCAAGCATCTGATTAAGTGTGAATATCTGGAACATAATGTCCAAAAAGAAGGGAGTCTTAAACAAATGTTTTGATATATGATTTAGCTCTGTTGTTTTTGTTTGTTTTTTTTTTAACAGAAGCATTTTAAAATTTCAATCCAAATGCAGTCAAGAAGAAAAACCTACCCAAACCATCCATGTTCCATAACACAAGTATATTACATGGAATTACATGCACAAATTATCAAATAGGGAAACTGACAGCACACTTCTTACCAATGAAAAACATACACTGCCTGTACTGCAAAGGCTATCTGGTTACAAGTTCTTCGGTTTTGTCTCTAAATAAAAGGACTAATTAAACTTTTAATCCACCGTTTCTTTGTGATAAGGCACAGCTGAATCAGTTAACAAAATAGTTGTGGCTCAAATCAATCTACTCTTACTGTATTATAACAGCAGTGAGAAAACACATTTGCTTTCCCAACATTTCAGAACTTGCATTTCAAATTCAGATGAAGACTCCATGTTCATAAACTAATCTTGCATCAACGCCCATATTATTTGCACATGAGGAACTATACATGAAGCTATAGCTACAAAAAAACATAGGGAAAATCAATCCTTTGGCATGGTTGCTGCAAGTGGTGCAGCAATTCTATAGCAATACACCTCCACTACAGGCTAGATGTCAATACAAATGCCATGCCATGCCATGGCTAGTCAAAACCATTCACTGACATCTTAAGGACAGCAGACTGAAAATTTTTTACTTATGGACTATTACTGCATTGAGACTAAAACCTTAACATTATTTCATTAAAGACTCAATGCTGCACTATACCCCCATATTCTTAAATGGGATCACTAAACAGCAGTATCAGTAGAAAATTTGATAATCCAATATGTAACAGCTACTGCAGAGACCAGCAGACATGGCTGATAAGAGGTTAAATGAGAAGAACATTACCTTTGGTTAACTGTCTGTGTTCATCTCTCTCCCACATCCCAGTTCTGACTACATGCCTATTTTTTGACCAGCTAATATTGAGGGAAATAAAAAGTATATTGGCCTGTGAACATTTAATGTACAGTAACTTCAGATTGACTTCTGAGGTGTCTCTAGGAACAGGTAAAGTCTCCAGAAAGAATAAGTAAGTCTCCTTGTCCAGTCTTTCCATATTATCAGTATCTCGGCCTCTCCTGACCTTCCAAACCACCACTTTTAAGTCTAGACATTCCCTAACTACTGTACTGAAAAAAAAAGCTTAAAATTATTACCAGAAACTGATATAGAGACTCAAGAAAGCAAGCAGGACAACACTGGAAGAGACAGTTGGTCAGTAAGACCCAAGAACTCCATCAGACTTGAACTACATATTATTATTCTACTTCATTTTTAAAGAACCCATTCTAGAATGCCAGAAAACATTTTTGGAAAATACTTCAGTCCAACAGTATTTTCCACATTTTATTCCAAAAGATGCTCAATGCGCTTGTTGATGTGTGGAAGTACAGAACTCCACGTCAAAAAAAATCTCAGCTTTTACAAACAACTGAGCTTTTCAGATTTCAAGGACAAACACTTCAAGATTTCAATATGCTCTGAAAACAAACCTGTGTGATCTCCACAGAAGCCATAATTAGCAGGCAGAAGCTTTCCCTTTCACGTGCAACAAAGCTGAAGTTTTGAAGGCTGTCTCTATGCACATTGGTAAAAAGTACTAGTCACAAAGTGATGCTTGCTTGCATTAAAATCTAATCATGCCTCTTCAACACCACAATGTTTGGAAGGAAAACATTTTAAAAGTACCATTATTTTGTAAGAATTGCAATACACATGCATCTGTTAGGTTACCTTCCCTTCACCCATACACTTAAACTTATCTAATATACACAGAGGAGAAATAAATGGCCATGTAGTTTTGAGTGTGTCACTACAGATAAATATTGCAATCACTTGTTTTGGTCAGTTGTTTAAGTTCCATCTTACCGTGTAGTAATGCAAACTTTACATGAACTACAGTAAATAAAGCAATAAACTGAAAATAAGCAATAAACCAGATAGGTTTAGGAAAAAAAATAAATCTTAATTATCTAGTTTAATTGTTTAAAAAAAACAGTCTTTCATAGCAAAAGTGAGTATCATGACAGAGACCGTAATAGAACTAAACACTGCAATTGAAACACAGCAGCACTTTCTCGTATTACAAAAGTGGAATCATCGTAGAGTTGGAACAATTTATGCCAGCTGCTTCTCATGTAAATACACAATATCATACGTACATATTTGCCACTATTTTGTTACAAAAACCTCATGTTTATGTAGAGGAATAATTTCAACTATTTATCACAAAAGCAGACAACACCTCAATACTTACAGTAAGGCATTTCACGTAACAGTGGCTCAATTGACACAACACATCTAAGTATTTTCACAGTTACACAACAGCCACTTGTTAAAGTGTGACCATGTAACATAAAACCTCTAATTACTGTAAGACATTTTTAAGTACCCAGTAATCACAGCTAACAACAAATATTCAAACATTTACTTATGAAATTAAGTATTTGTGAAACTCATTGCAAACCTATAATTAAAGAGCACTCAGTATGATTGGTACTGTAACCTTATGAAGTCTGCTTTATCCAAAGGCTACTGTTAGTGACTTTATTAGAGACCATGCAGAAATTTTCTAAACAGAAAAATAAAAATTGTTGGAATTAATACTATTATAATACATTTCCTAACTTGAGCCTTCATTTTAGAGAAATTTGCTACTCTTCAAGGTAAATAATTCGATTTTTTGAAACATCTGCCTCAAAAAATCTCATTTAACTTTGAATGTTAAAATTTTAAGTCTTGTAACTTTATATCCTAAATACTAATTTCTTCTTCTATGAACAATATTTGTAAATTTCTAAAGATAAGATTATAGCTATGTTGGAATATCTTTTTATTTGCTAAATACAACTATGTCAGAACATACTTGAAATCATAAAATTAATCAAAGTTAAACTGCAAACTTCTTACTGAAAAGGAAAATGCAGGTTCCTTTGGAAAACATACGGAGATTTACAAAGGCAGAGGCTGGATAATACCAAGATACTAAATATCTTAAAATGACAGCAACTACCATAATTTAGTTTTTGATTTTCCCCCATTTTAATTTTGGTAGAATTTTTAACCTTCAAAGAAAACATCGTAACAGTAAACACCCCTGAAGACCATGTTAATGTACGTAAGGTAATAATACTTACTGCCAGGCATTGTTAATCAGGAATCTGTCTTCAGTTTTGCAAAAATATCATAAGCTATAAAGAAATAAATAAAAATTCAGTCAAGACAATAGCTTTAGACAGTTTACATCCAAACATAAGTAGAAACTTATGCAGAATGAGCCAAAGTCACATTCTTCAGCGCCAGCATCAGAGGCTGTTACCACAGAAACCCAGATACCACTTTATCTGGCCAGACGACATGCAGGTTTTGCCAATTCTAAAAATTTAGTCATTCTGTTCCTGCATTTGATAGCAGAGTAAACATTTTTTTCTCTGTATTACTTGGCATGACCTTTCGAACTGTCACTGTTTAAGATGCTAAATGCTTTACAGGATACTTCCACTTCACAGCACTTCACCCTTAAAATGCCTGTGAAAGGTTTCTGCTCCACACAAAGAAAAAATATGCTGAAAAATCTGCGGGGGGCACTTCCTAGGACATTTTTCTCCATGTATCAGAAAACCGAGATTTTTAAATCAGAGAGCAAACTACTAAAACCAATAGCTCCTCAAAGGATTTCGATGCAATTAGATATTTTCACAAAATTAACGCAACTGAAGTGACAACAATCTATTTTGGGGATAAAAATAGCCTAACCTAACATTTAATTAATTAGTATTAAAATGCAAACTGTTTGAAGATTTTTCTATATTAAACCAGTGCACTTAGGTTTTATTAATTGTCAAATGCAACCTCTCTATAAATAAGGAAAAAAAAAAATCTCAGTTCAAGAGACTGTGCTGCTGTTTTCAAAGATAAAATAAAAAAAAAATAAGCTAGGTGAGACTTGTTTATATGTACACACACACCAAAAAAACTCTAATCCCAGACATTGATAATGTGAGAATAAATATTCTATTTGGTCACAAAATATGTTTTAACGTTCACACACTAAAGCAATGTTCAGAGAGGCTAAAATAAACTTTATTCTATTTGTATATGTATTTCAATGAAAGGTTCCAATTTGCTGACAGCAACCATGATTAAAAACAGTGCTCCAAAGTAATGGATTTAAAAATCCTATCCTATTAGAAGGCTGTATGTCCCTCTCCAAGGACAGAGTTAATTCGTAATTTTATAAAAAGAAACATGCGCTGTGGATTGTGATGTTCAACAAACACACGGAAAAGTGAAATCTCTAATTTAAAGTGCAGTAAAGAACTTAGCTGAAAGATCACAGAAGACAGATTTACTGACATATTAGAACATAAAAATGCGAAGAGCCTGATGAGAGGTTCAAGGGAGTCAATCGCCAGAGACTCCACGTTTCACCAACCATCCCCAGCAGTCAGGAATTCCATACATTTTGCTAGAACAAAGTTGTTGCTAGCAAAGTCAACTAGCTTTAAAAAATCTTAATACAGAAATTACTAGAAAATATGTATATGCAACTAAGACAGCTGTGCAAATTTAAGACGTTTTATTTTGGTTTTAAATGGTTCACTGGATTTCTAATCATTTTATGGTATGTGTCAGGACCAAAAATTCAATATGAAGGTGGCCTGGCTTCTACATGCAGAACAGACCACACAATTTCCTCTCCATAAAGTGGGCCATCACAGGCTTGTTAGCCCTGGGGCAACGTTTAGTCCACAGATGCGGAAATCTGTTACAGTTGAAGAGAACTAAAATAAAATAAGAAGCTTCCCACCATGAGTCTGCTCTGCTGTTTGTCACTGAATTAAATTTCACATATCAAGAAAGGAGGAAAAATCCAGAATCTGACAAAGCAGAACTTGGCTACAACTGGAAAAAAAAGAGATATGGCAAACCATGATATATAAGTTAGTTTTCCCAAACAGTCTAACATTTACTGTTTAACATAATCCATATAATTTTGTGATATTTGACACCTCACCAGAAGCAAGTTAAGGATGTTATGTACCTGCACAATGTATCCTGTACCAAAGCAACTGACTCCTGCTTTTAAAGAGGTAAATAAGAATTAAGTCTAATTTTTTGTGGAGGTTTGAAAGGTATTTTTCTTTTCCTAAGGATATAACAGTAATTCAGAACCCAATTATAATCAAAGTACGATGCTAATGAATGTACCTTAAAAGGTAGCTCAACACTTGTATGAAACATACAGGTCATTTTGCTTAACAAAAACTTTCAGTTTAGTTTTAAGGATTGACAATTGGCTACAAAATTTGGCTGGGAAAAGGAAATCCAAGATGAATTTATTATTTTATCTGATTCAAGCAGCACTAACATAGGCCTAAAAATATACTCTGTTCTACTTAATGGTTACGATCATCTTCTTCCTCCAGTTATATGCTCACATGTGATTTTTTGTCATTACTTTAAATAACCTGGGATCTGAAATTAAAGGGCAGTTTAGAAGCAGCAACCGTTTCTTATTATCACAAGATTTCATAAATGGCTCCGAAAGCCAAATAAAACAGACATTTTTTTTCCTGTCTGCCCTAAACCAACAGATCCCTGTAAAAGATCTAAAACAGAAAAATGTATGTATTGTTGTGCTACAGGTAAAATTAGCATATCTGAGGTTTTGTACTTTCTTTTAATAAGTCCACTATTACATTATTCTGTTATGTAAACTATAAATGATTAACTTGATTTTAAGTATTCAAAATGAAATTGCCAGCTGGGCTCCAATCCATTCCTCCAAATTAAGCCGAAGAAGAGCACAGGTTTAAGCATCTCTGACAGTCAAGCAACCCAGGCTGGCCAGGCGTGAACTAAAATATTAAAAATACACTGGATATTAAGTTTTTACATCACCTGGTTGCCCACCCATATTTCCTATTTGAAAAATTAATCTGTGCCTTTCGTTTTGAAGGTAGGCAAATGGCCAATGCAAGATTAATAAGTCACATGCTCATTCCTAAAGATAGACAGGCTCCTACTACAATGCTCAGAATCCAAAAAACGCAATTTAAAATGGATTTACATAGCAGAGTGCAATTCTGTGCAAATACTCAACTTGATTTTGAATTACCTTTCTCAGGTAGACAAGCAATGCCACAAGTGAGCCTGGCTGTATTCACGGGGCTACCCTGTTCTCTCACCCAAGAGAGGTCATCTCAACAAAGTGCATCTAAAAGGACATTTGTCCTGCCTAACTCCAGTGAATTCTACGAGTAGATGGTTTCAGGACAAGAAAAACCCTGCACATGAAATAAGTGTTCCTTAGCAACTCTTCCCACCATCTCAAAGGCCAGTTCAACCCAACATCCATTTCACTGGCAAAATCAAAAGCAACATTCCTATGCCTAGCTACAGATGCCAAAGGTGGGTTAAAAATCCATCAGATAAGTACTTCTTGTTCTATTACAGCTATAGAAAACATTATTTATTTTAAAAATAATATCCAAAGTTACTTATGAATAACACAGTAATTTTACAAGAATTACTTCCATTACAGAGTTAGGCCGGGCAGTTAAGTCACTGATACCAAGCAAAGCTGCTTCTAACGTGTACATTTTACAATGTAGATTTCATAATTAGGAGTGCAATCCCCTTTCATTATACCTGAAGTTTAATTGACAAGTCTGATTAATACTGTAATGCCTCCCTTTCATTTGCATGTAGTATAAAATGTGTTTATTCTTTTCTACTGCACAACTTCAGATAAGCAGTAGACAGAAGCTAATGCTCATCATTAACTGCAAACATTTTCATAACATGATGCTAAACTTAGATATTTAAAACATTTGTTTAATTACAAACTGTATTCTAATCCCCATTTTTGTGAACTTTTTCCTGAATCAGAAATTAATCCCTTTCAAGCAGCATCTTTTTAGACAAATATAAAGAGTTCTTAAAAGGCTTAAATAAAACCTGTGCATAAGCTTGTACGCATATCAGGGCAATACAACCACGCTTTCAACCTCAAGCCACCAATTTCTCAGGGAAATTTTACCACATTTAAGAGCATCCATACACTGAGTCTTCTAGTAAGATGCCCTGAATACTAAGGCTACTCAAGAAAATATTTTTAGTTATTCTGAATGCATCACAAAGTTTTCACGAAGTAGATTACCTATACTTTCCCAAAGTTTTGGCTGTTACTCTGGTTTTACATTGCCTTCTCAATTTGCAGAGCAAACTCTGACGTAGTGCTATAAAACATAACTTTGGGCTAGCAAACTTTATTTTGATATAGGAATTAAAACTCTGCTTGTCAGTTACAGCCATTTCCACAAGTTTTTCAACAGAGCACAGAGATCTCTCAGTCCACTCCAGGATCTTTTTTCTTCCTAGTATCCCAGCTCCAAACACCATGTGAAACCTCCCTAACTGTATTCAGCTTAACAAAAGCGAAGTTGTACTATAATTAGTGCTCAGTAACAGGATTTGTGAACATACACCTCAATTATCTAAAGCATGGCTCCGTGCTGCACAATTAACTTTAAAGCAAAAGACGAACCTATTTAAGAAAGTTCACAGTGTGGTTCTTTTCTTAATTTGCACTGTGTTCGGTTAATGCTTAGCAAGACCTCGCTGTGTTATGGTCCACTTGAGGAAAACCAGCTTAGGGAAATCCCTAAACCACGGTCCTCGACGGCTTCGCTGCTTTCAGATTGACACCACAGGGATACCTGACAAACACGACTGACTACTGACAAGGTTTTGGCTTATGATTGCCTCATGGAAGGTCTTCGTCTCTGGAGAGCGTCATGCAGACACCACTCAGCTGTGTCAGGACCTCAAGCCCTCTTCTGGGAAAGGCAAGGGGGGTCCCGCTCAGTACTACCACCCTCCCAGGACAGCCGGACGGAAGACGGGGAGCGAGCCCGCCCGCTGGGAACAGCGCTCAGCAGCGACCACAGGGGCACCCTGAGCCGACTGCCCTACTCAGCTCCCGGGCTAGGGGCTGAGGCCATGTCCTGAGGCTTCTTCTCCCACCGCTCTGAGGGGTCCGGCTGCCGCAGGTCGGCCCGAGCCTCCCGCCACCCACCAAAGCCTCTCCGCAGCGCCCGCCCATCTGGCACGGCATTCTCGCTCCCAAACGTGGAGAGAAAAAAGGAGACGGCTTTGAAGACG